GATACGGCTGTTGCGAGCGATGCGATGCTTGAATGCTTCGATACGGCTGACGCTGGCCACATGCCAGGCACCTCAGCTCTATCTTCTCGGCCTTGCCTTGCACGGCGTTGCGTTGCCCTTCACTGTGCCGCAGGACGTCGTCCGTAAGCGAGAGAGAGCGCCCATGCTACCCGCGCTGACTGCCCGGCAAGTCTTGGGAGGTCAGAGTGTGGGCAACAAGATTGCTGTGGCACCGGTCGAATCCACCGGGGACCCCGAGTCAGACCAAAGAGGCCGCGAGAGATAAACAGACACAAGTTGAGGGAACCTACGCTAAGAAACCCTTCATCGACATTGTGCGAGCCCGCCCGCGCCCAGCAGTGCACACGGCGCCTGTATCCTATGGATAGATAGGTACAGGGACAGCACTGATAGGACGAGACATGCGACTACATACGGACGGACAAGGGGCTGAGAGGGGGGCAAAGGACATGGGCATGGGCATGGGGGTGTCGAAGGCACACTACAACTCTTTGGGAGTTTGGTCCCGCAGCCTACGTCCATGTCCAATGAGATGGACGTCATTCACCCATCCCGGCGAACGCGACACCAAGGAGTGAGAGAGGAACCGACTGATAGCCCAGTACGGGACGGCACTGAATGGAAGTTGTACAGTGAGGAGTAAGGACTGCCTCAACTCAATCGAGACCTTCCCTGCCGGCTGTTCTGTCTGTCAATCTTTCTCCGGCAGCCTGTCTGTCTGATTTGTCTCGTTTGTCTATTTTTTCGACCCTTGCCGGTTTTTGCCTCTTTTTCTTTTCCTCCTTCCTTTTAAACTCTTCGTCTTCCCATCTCCTCGGCTCTGGAATACTTCAATTCCAGTTACACACGGCCGATCCTCCCCCAAATAAACTTCCCTTCCTCTTGGCTTTCCAAATCACATAAGGCCTTCACTGTCCCTCATGTCAATTGGAAGAGTCGTCTCACTTTTTTAACCTTTCTCTCCTTTCCGGTCCTCCCTCTCGTCGCCTCGGAGCCCGATTTTGACTTGCTACTCGACAGATAGTATAGTCAAACAACAAAACGGGCTTTCATCATGGCGCATGTGCTCTCGCAAGACCCCGGTGCTCGCGAGCACGATCTCGGCTTCAACAAGGGCGATATCAAGGATGGCTACACTACCCGACCCTCCCGTTCCGACGATGGCGGTGCCGATAACATGCTCGAGTCTCTGGGTTACAAGCCCGAGCTCGAGCGTAATCGCTCAACGCTGCAGGTTGCCTTCATGTCCTTCGTCCTCGCTGCTATCCCCTACGGTCTTGCCACTACCATGATCTACCCCTTGGCTGGCGGTGGTCCTGTGAACATTATCTGGGGATGGCTCGGCGTGTCTTTGATCATCATCTGTGTCGCTGCCTCGCTCGGTGAAATCACCAGTGTCTACCCTACTGCCGGAGGTACTTACCAGCTTTTCTTCTCCGTCATGTTTGCCGTTGCGACGGCCGGCCGGCTCCGAAATTCGCCAAATCCGGACTTTATGCTGACGACTTCTCTCTGATAGGTGTCTACTACCAAGCCTTCATGCTGTCCTCTCCCAAGTACCGCCGCGTGGCCAGCTGGATTTGCGGCTGGTTGTACGTGGTGGGAAACATTACCATTACTCTGGCCGTGAACTTTGGAACTGCTCTGTTCATCGTCGCATGCGTCAACGTTTTCGAGTCGGAACCTGGTGTCGGCGTCCTTGCTGGCGAGCCGTACCAGGTTTTCCTCATCTTCCTGGGTTTGACCTTCATTTGCAACATTGTGTCCTCGCTCGGCAATAGGTGGCTGCCCATCCTTGATGTAAGAATGCTTCTGCTCCCGCGTGCCCGGTGTTGTATAGTTGTGAAATGAAAGCATACTAAACTTTTCGTGACTTAGTCCGCGGCTATTTTCTGGACATTCGCTGGTGTCTTCGCCATAATCATCTCCGTCCTCGTCGTCGCCAAGAACGGCCGTCATGATGCCAAATACGTCTTCACCCACTTCGAGGCCAACTCCGGATGGCCCGATGGATGGTCTTTCTGCGTCGGTCTCCTTCACGCCGGATACGCCACTTCGTCCACTGGCATGGTTATCTCCATGTGCGAGGAGGTCAAGAAGCCCGCTACTCAGGTCCCTAAGGCACTCGTCCTCACCGTCTGCCTCAACACCCTGGCCGGTCTCCTGTTCCTTATCCCTCTCGTCTTCGTGCTCCCCGACATCACCTATTTGATCAACCTGGCTTCCGGTCAGCCCGTCCCCGCCATCGTCAAGGACGCCATGGGAACATCCGGCGGTGCCTTCGGACTCCTCTTTCCTCTCATTGTCCTGGCCATTCTTTGCGGTATCGGCTGCACCACTGCCGCCTCTCGTTGCACCTGGGCCTTCGCTCGTGATGGTGCCATCCCTGGCTCCCGCTGGTGGAAAGAGGTCCACCCCAAGCTGGACGTTCCCCTGAACGCCATGATGCTCAGCATGGTTGTCCAGATCATTCTCGGTGTCATCTACTTCGGCTCCAGCGCTGCTTTCAACGCCTTTTCCGGTGTTGGTGTCATTTGCTTGACTGCCTCGTACGCCATTCCCATCGGTATCAGTCTCTTCAACGGCCGCACCCACCTTGTCGGCAGCCCCTTCAACCTCGGCAAGTTTGGTGTCGCCGCCAACGTCATATCTCTCGGTAAGTACACTTTCCCAAACAAATTTCATCATTAGGTCCAAAGCTAACTCTTTGACAGCCTGGTCTGCTCTTGCCATGCCCTTGTTCTGCATGCCCACCTTCGTTCCCGTCACCCCCACGACCATCAACTACGCGCCCGCCGTCTTCGTCGCCGCCTGCCTCATTTCCGGTGGATGGTACTTTGCCTGGGGCAAGAAGAACTACGCCGGGCCCCCTACCAACGAGGAGCCTGCTTTCTAAGCTCTCTACACAATTGAGCTCGAGGATATCTGCGACGGTCAAAGGCCGAAATGTTTTTGAGCTTTCCAGCATCTTCGGGTCGAAAAATTAAAAGTATCGACAACATACACTTGGCAACAATGTGCATCCGTATGGGTTTCCTGTCACACTTGGAAACAGTGAATTAGGAGCAACCCATTGGCAGCATTTTGCCAGGAGGCGCCTATGGATTATGGCGCATCGGGCAAGGATACCAACAAAAAAAAGAGAGAGAAACGAAGGCGGTCATGTACATAGGAATGATACCCCCAGTGCTTAAATTCAAATTTTCAGTTACAACAACCACCTGTCGTCATTTGCTATTGTGATGTATTTCGCAAAACAGCTGCAGTCAGTTAAGCACCAAACAGATTCCCATCCTCAAAATACAAACCGTTGAGGCCATTCGCAGTTACCTATCCCAAATTCGCCGAGCCTTGCCGTCCAAGCGTAGAGTATTGTTGAAACACCACGTCGCCGAGGTACATCCGACCAAAAGCCAATCCTCCAGCTTTCGTCTGATCAACAAAAGCCCATTGTGAAGTTTGCGCCCAGCCAAACAATCGACACTGTACTGGACTGTACAAAGTGGACAGGAACTACCCTTAGTACTCCTCCGTGCCTCCATTTCCCCCCTTTTTCGGGAGGAGATTTTTACTGCAGTATTTTCTCTCTTCTTAATGGAGTTGTTTTTCTGGGTCCCCCGTTAGAGAAGCGTTGAACTTTTCAAATTGCCAAGAACCTCCATTCCGGCCGCCTTGCACACCCGTCCGCCCCCATGGGGGCACGGGGGCAAGCCAAACCAGACTGGGATAATACAGGCGGTTTAAAGGATGGGTAGTCAGATGATCTGTGATCCTCTCTTTGTTATGCCTAATTCGGATATAATCAAGGTGAAGGTGGGAGGAGGTCCCGGAAAATTTTGATCTGGAGAGAGCAGCATCGGCATTGGATGGAGTGTGTGGTGTGAAACAGTGCCTGGGTGTGGGCTCGCGCGGTCCCTCAGATACATACAATCCTTGGGTAAAGGGACCAGCAACCAACGGCGGTGACGTTGGAGCTCTTTACTCAACCAACGTCCTTTGCATACCCGGCCCCGCCCTTGGTTGCCCATTTAAACGCCGACCGCTCCTTCATGTCCAGAACGGGGTGGGGAACGCGGTCAGCGGAACTTGTCCGGTGGATTTGTCGTGTTTGATTTTTCAATGTTCGTGGCTCAGCCTGATTTTGATGTGAGGAGCTCGGGACACTCGGTGACTTGGACACACACACACATATGCGGACTCTCGACTCGAGGGACGGGAGTGGGACGGTAAGGAACTTGTTCATTCTTACGGCATGAAAGTCCACTCACACGTAAAACGTCCCTTTCGCATCTTAGAGCCTTGTTTTTCTTTTTGCTTGATGTAGTCTCAAATGTGTAGACCCAGGGTCTCAGGGCTTGTCCCTGGGCAGAACGTGCTAGGTATCGATACATGGACCTGAATGTTCTTCAACGGGTCGATCCAGTGTGGCAGTCTTGAAGGGTGTTCACGGTCTGGCGAATCAGGGCCGGAGGAGTCGGCGAGAGAGGGGGATGGGATGCGATGACGTCTTTCGTTCAGGTTTTCTAGAAGATTTCCGTTTCGGGGGCTTCTTTGTGTTGATCGTTTTCACCCCACTTTCTTCTCGGGATGGCAGGGCGTTGCGCTCACCTGAGTCGGTGAGGATGCCGAAGGTTCCGGGGGTTCGGTGAGATACCGTCGAAGTTGAGATCAGGCCTGGATGAGCCCTTGATTTCGCGAGCGAAAAGATGAGGGCTTCACGCCTTACTATAGTAAGGGCTCTTGAATTTGCTCAGCAGTTGCCGTGCTTGGAGGTTCCAATCTCTCGTATTGGCCTAGTCGAGATACATTGGTAAGTGAGAATTTTGATGGATGGCTAGACGAATGAGAGTCGTTCTCATCTAGATTCTGATACCCAAGAACGGAATATGAGACTCCTAAATAGTTGCAACTAGCTATGTACTCTGGTAAAGATATACATTCGAATGGAGCACACATGCATGAGAGTCTTGACTGCCGTCTCAAGCAGCAGTGAACGAGTTCACCTTGATCGAGCCTCCCAACTGCTTAGTAGCAAAGTTGAAAATACCAAAGCGATACGCAATGAAGAACTCCCACCCAGAGTTCAGTTTATACGCATCACCAAGCTTAGTAAACTCAACACCATCGAAACTGTAGAAAAAGTCGGCATCCCTAGTCCCCGTCGGCCGCGCATCCAGTTCAGCCCGGAACCATACCTTGGTAGCGCCGCTCCTCACCGGGGCTGAGGCTACCTCCTTGCCTGGGTCAACGGGATTACCTGACTCCGCGTCGATGATGATACCCTGGATTGCTTTGAGGGTGTACTCGCTGCCGTTGCGATGGATACCGATGTACGCAGTTTGGTCGCGGAACGCCGCCAGCCCGAACCTGTCGCCGTCGGCCATGTTGCTAAAGTCGATTTCGACGGTTCCCTTGGGGAATTCTCCGTGGATTCGGTGGGTGAGGGTGTTTCTCGCAGAGTAAATGTCTTCAGTGACGCTGGCGGTGCGCAGGATCACGCCGTTGTTGACCTCGAAGCTCGCGACGTCGGGGTTGTGATTCCATTCCCAGGTGGGACCGAGTTCGCTTTCAAACGTGTAGGTCCGCGTCCAATTGTACAAGGGCTGAGATGGAAGAGGTAGAGGGTAGGAGGAGCCCCAACCACCGTTGCTTCCTTTCACGATCTCGGGGAAGCCATCCGCGCCCCAGACAATGGGTGCCAGCACAGGCATGCGGCCCGCGGGATACGCCCATGTGAATGACATGAAGTACCAGTCTCCTTGCGCGGTCTCAATGAGACTTCCCTGATGGGGTGAGTTCCCTCCCTCTAGCGGCGGCGCAATGTTTTGGCCCAGGATCTTCGCTTCGTAAGGACCCCACGGACTGCTCGACTTCCAGATGTAGGTCGTGGATCCGGGCTGGTCATTGAGGATATAGTACGTTCCGTTGATTTTGTACATCCTGTTACCCTCCACCGTCTCGGTATTGACATCCGATGCCTGCAGAACCTGCTGCGTCTTCACAACACTAAGACCATCGGCAGCGAGCTGCGAAACGCTGATTTTCCCGTTGCCGTAGACCACATACATCGTATCATCATCGTCGATCAGCAACCCGTTGTCATACATGCAATTCCCACCACCAAAGTTGGCGCGGTTATACCAAGGCCCCTCCACGGACGAAGCAGTAAAGACCCAGGTGATCCAGAAGTTGGTGCACCCAATCCAGTACCATAGCCCATCACTCTCGCGGTACCGCAGCGTCGAGGCCCAGGTACCACCTCGGTAGGCACGGGGCCCGCCGGGTGGGAGGTCGTAACCGTCGCCGAAATTGAGACGGGGAATGGAGTGCCCGACGGGCTCCCAGTTGACGAGGTCGAAGGAGCGGAGGATCGGGGCGCCGGGGCTGTAATGGAAGTTTGAGGCGGAGAAGTAGAAGGCGCCGTCTGGGCCGACGGAGATGTCGTTGTCAGGGTAGTCTTCGTAGAGGACTGGGTTCTGGAAGGTTTCCTCGCGGCATTTTTTGATGGTTGCGGCCGAGGTGAGGAGGAGTAGGGCTGCTGAGAGCAGCAGAAGACGAGTCGGCACCATCGTCGAAGAAGCACTGGCAGAGGCAGCCCGGGGAATTGAGAGCTTGGTTCAGACTTTGGGAATCTGATCGATTATCACGGGACTCTTTCAGCTACATATACTGGAATATTCTTGAGGCATCTCCTTTGGCCTTTATGGATTACTTCGGAATCATTGGTGCGGGAGGAGAGTGTCAGCCATCTGCAGGAACTTCTCGGCGGGTTGACGTCCGCTTCCTTAAATCGTCAAATGCGACGCTGTCACTTTGCGGGGTGAGAGATGCCAAGAAGAGAAACCCGCCCTAATTTAGCCATCTCGGTTTCCTGGTCTCCAGGGTTTAGCGGGAAATGCCATTTCTTTTGGAAAAACATAGAGATCTTACCCGATTTCCAAGCCAATGATCTCGCCGCTACTATGTTGCTGCAGGATGACGTCCATCCTGTTGCGTTTTGGCTTGAGCAACGTCGCTTGCCTTAGTAGGACTTACACAGAGGGGCTAAGCAACATCCCAAGAAGTCGGGAGGCGGAATTAGACGCGGTGGGCGCTGCCGACAAGTTGTGATGTTGGCAAAATTATTCATTGCATCAGGATAGCTGGCAACTGAACGAAATGTCGGGTTCTTGAATACAACAGAGGACAGAGGAACTAAAGCACTCTATTCTTAGTAGCAGCTGTTACCATAACGAACACTGAGCGGCCCCTTTTCATTCCCGTTGCTCAAGCTTCTACTCGTAGACAACATGACTGTAAAACTTGTCAGAACCAATCTTTTCTTCTCAAGTGCAACAGGCAAGGGGGGTATTTCAGTGAGACTCACAAGTGCAGGTAGACGTGAGTCTTGCAGGCCTTCATCTCCTGGCGGACCTGCGAGAGCAACACAAGCGCCTCCTCCCTAGTCCAATCCAGTGCGGTGAAAAATAGCTTCAGGGTAAATGCGTCAAGCCCTTCGAGCATCTGGATAAGGTTGCCCATGCCAATGTCCTTGAGCGAAGGATCCTTTGCCCAAGGCCCGATGGGAATCTTGTAGTGTCGATGCTCGACGTTTTGAAAGCCGAGGTCTCTCACCCATGCATTCAAACTTGATCCAGGAGCTCCGTCTCGTCCAAGATTTGCGCAGGCTTCCATGAATAGGGTGGCTCATCGGTGTGTCTGGGTACTGTTGAGGGACCCATCGTCTGGGTCTAGCATCAGACTCCAGTCTTGGAACTCCGCCCAGCCGCCAGACGTCAGGTTCCTAAATAGTCTCATTGTTACTATTCATCTTTCAAGTGCAGATGGTTAAGGGACCGCTCACTTAAAAATTCGGCTGATGTACAGTTGCCAGTCCGCGATAGAGCCAGCCATGTAACGGCTGAAGATGAAGGTGTACTTCTTGTTCCCTACCTAGGGGCTTTCGACGTCGTCGACCTCGAAATTGACGTTTGGAGGTACCCAAGACGGCTGAATGGGACTCAAATCAATTCCGGTTACCTCGGCATTAGGGAAGAAATCTCCCATCTCGGTTGCCCCTACAATGACATTATCAGTCTCGTTCACGAGCATTGGGGTCACATAGAAGCATCCAACTACCGGTCCCGGTGCCTATGTCTAGTATGCGATGCGTCTTAATTTCGTCGAATGGTGCAAGGAAGAGCGTGTTGCCAATGGTCTTGACCATCACGGTATGCGCTGTTCCGAGTCTATCGGATTCTCTCTATAAAGAATATTGCAATCAGTGACTCTAGCTTTAAGAAGCTGATATTGTGAAAACTTTACCTCGTCATTTGGAAAATTATAGGCTGTGTATGTCGTTACCAGATATGTCGCTCACAATGGGGACGACACGGATCAGCTAATGCTACTCACAGCCAGCTCGAAACGCGTGATAAGTTAGACCATTTTCAGTCGGATAATCCACCATTGATGAAGACAGAGAGGCAGTATAGAAAGACCTGGTCCAAATTCCCATTAGTCCTGCTTAGACCGAACCTGTAATTGACGGTTTCAGGATTCGGACTGGACTCACATGCGATCATCCATGGTCGAGGCATCGTTCTGTTCATAAGAAACGCATCAGTCACGGCAGATTATTATACTACTTCAAGATACGAACCCTAATCACTCTTACTTCGTTGTCAACTTCGATGTCGGCTGATGTTGATGGGACGTCTGCCGTAGATGCCGCGGTTGGCTGGACGGGTTGTGCCTCGACCTCACTAATTGAGCTGGACATGATGATACCTGCACGCGCTGCAACTGTTTTCTGACACAACTGAGGGGATTCAAACGAGGTACAGGAGGCCTTCAGATAATGCCATCCCAGGAAGCGGGATTTCTGAGGTTTATCGTATGTTGGCAACAACGTAGCTTGGCGGCGCTTAGTTGTAGCAAATATCTGGATCTTCTGCAGAGCGGATGCAGCACTTACATGGAGACAGCGCATCTCACCAATTGAGGGTAAAAGTCCGGCTGGGTTATTGCTTTTGTCCTCAAGTGAGCCAACATAGCAAGGTTGAGTAGTTCTAGTTTGACACGGATATGTTGCTAGGAATTAACAGCCCATCTGAGGCATCCAACGCCTCTAGCTGTTATCTGACAAACATATATGCATCGTCGTGGCTCATATGATACGGGACAGTGACATTGACGGCTGCGTAGAAGTTCTCCTTCATATCCCATTCTGCCACCTCAAGTGTCAATTCTTGATATCATAAAACTGAACCTCCGCAATCATTGAGGTCTCAGAACGTATTCTGGCACCCTTGGAGCCCCTGGTCTCATCGGCGGTTGCATCTGCCCCTTTTGGTTCGGTTGGTCATCAAGACCAGATGTCCACTGGATTATGCCCATCATCGGCTCCGCGTGGTTCAGTATCGGGTCGTTCTTATTGTTCAACTCGGTCGTAAACTACTTGCCAGACGCCTATCCGAATGTTGCAGCTTCAGCCCTTGCGGGCAATGATTTTTTCAGAAGCGTCTTTGGTGCGGGGTTCCCGTTGTTCGCAAACGAAATGTATACCAAATTGGGGGCTGCATGGGCGAGTTCGCTTCTGGGATTTTTGCCGATTCTGTTCATCCCTATCCCTATCATACTATACAAGGTAAGTCGCCACAAGTCTGCTAAATGGTTTGCCATATCGCTGATTGCAGACACAGGTCGGTCCGAAGCTTTGCAGAGAGTACAGCAGACATGCGCGGAAGAATATCTAGAGTGACCTACACACCACGCCAGTCGTGGTTTCCGTGACAACAACAAAGGATCGCGAGTTCTACAAGATCGGGTAACATTTTCACCATTCATAATTCTATTTGTTTAAATGTATATATGTTCTCTAGTTTGTTGTGGAATCCAGTCACATGAAACCCATGTTTAACGTTTACCTAATGGTGTTGTAAAGAAGAGTGCTTCATGGGCCTTTGTGATCATTGAACAATGATCAACCATTGAATAGGGATTAAACATTTGCTTTACTAAAGAGCCATGAAACAGCGGAGTACCCAAAATCATTCTTGCCAGATTACCTCTGTGTCTACTTAGTTCCCTTATGCCATCGCGCACTTAGATACTGTATCTGAAGAGTTTGTCCTGTTTATCTGTCAAGTCACTCTCAGGAGCACCACCTGCATCCAAGACGACCTCATCCTGGCTCTGGATATTCTGGCCATCAGATTGAGCAGCATCTCTCTTCTTGTTGTCCTTTGCACAGAGCCATCTGTACACGACAATCTCGACAAACAGCAAGCACCACGTGACGATAGCTGTGACAACGCCGTTGAAATAGCGCGGCTTCTTGGTCCAAAGCTGAGGTGCGCCGATGCATCCTGCGCAGTACCCAACGAAGAACATTGCGTTGACGATGGCGCGTTTTGTGTTTCCCTTCACGTTTGATGCCGTAAGGGAGAGAAGGATCGACCATACGGCGGTAATGCACGATGCCTGAGCATACAAGGTCAGTAAGATGTCAGGACACAGCGTCGAGAATGTTTGACTTACGATCCAAGATGCAGCAATCATACCCCATCCGGCATTGGTGGACAGTTTCATAAGAAGTACGTTGCCAATGAGGGGCGGCAGGATGAGGACGAGAGCCACCAGACTTCGTTGCTTGGGGAAGAGCATGCAGCCGCAGACACCAATCCACAGCATCCCGATTTGAACGGCGCCTATAAAACGATATTAGATACGAATCTTAGTCAATGTAATCCGACGACATACCAGATGGAGCAGTGTATAGCATGGTCTGGTACTTGTCGTAGCCAATGCTGTTGATAACAAGTGAAGCGAACTGGAGCATCCACGGTCAGCTGTTATCGCAATTTTGAGATATAGATGAGACGAACCGTGAGGACCGGAGACTGCATGGTGACCAGAACACCGAACCAGAACACAAACCAGGTTCTGATATCAAATACAGCCTCCTTGAGCTGCGTCATAGAAAAGGAGGTCTTGTCGCCACCTTCACGGTCCTTGGCCATGCGCATAGACAGGACTTGTTTCTGGCGCTCGTTCAAGAACCACGCATCCTTGGGGCCATTCGGCATGAAGAGGTAGAAGAGAACTCCGGCGAAAGAGGTAATTGCACCACAGACGAGGAACAACACTCTCCACGGGGCGAGGGCGTGGGTGTTCTTGGCGATGCCGTACATCAGGAGGGAACCACAGATCTGAGCGACGCCGTTCATGGTGATCCAAAGCCTATCCATTATCAATAACACGGTATGTACGTCGGCTTTGGGAGATCTTACGCTGTTCGGAGGGCATGTTCGTTGCTTCGGTACCAGATACTTGTGATTGTGATGAAGGCGGGAGAGACGGCCCCTTCGGCGAAGCCAAGTAGGAATCGAACGGCAGCAAAGCCGGCGTAGTTGTGCGGGGCCGCGAGACACATGCAGATAATGCCCCAGATGACGCTGCGAAAGGGGATGTCAGCAGCTGTATAAAGAGATTGCAGGAAGGGATAGACTTACACGGTGACTCCGACAAACTTGGTAAGGTGGAATCTGCTCATCAAGTAGATGAAAGGATATTCCGATACCAGCTGACCTGTTCCGCGATGGTTAGAAACTGGATAGCTCGGGGAGCATCGCAGATGTACTTACCGACGTAGAAGATAGATGAACACCACGAGTATTGCGTGCTAGTCAGGTTCAGGTCGGTGATGAGGCCGAACACCTATCATCTTGTGGTTAGCAGCTTGAAGTTGGGGCAACATCTGATGGTTCCAGAACATAGGCAGCTTACACTGGCGTAACTAAGACTTTGCTTGTCCAAGTATTGCAGAAAAAAGACGAAGCACATCTAGACAAGCAAATCAGTCGAGTTGTTCATCAGTCATGGTTGCTAAAACTAGTTACTCACCATTGGCAGGATGGCCAGGTCGATCTTGCGGAGAACTTCCTTTTCCTCTTCAGGGGTATAGCCATCCGCAAGATCAACAATTTGTCCAGTCTTCTCCTCCATTGCTTCTGAAGGGACGCCGCCTCCTTGTTGCTTGGTCATCGCATCGATCTTGGTATCGCCGGACGAGGCCATTGTTGCCAGTGCTCGTTTGGAAAGTCTGAAGTCAAAGTCAAAACAGCCTTCGTCGACTGTCTCTCTAGAAATCCCACCCTCTCGGAGAACGGCAGAAGTGCCGGTTTTAAGATCCACGAGTTCGTCGTCTCCACATGTCGCATGGCATGTCATCTGTCGACCCGGGGTTATGTTTCCATCCCCCGCACTAAGAGATGCATATCAGGACATTCTCCAGAAATCCCTTCGATTGGATGTGACTAGTGAAGATAGCGGTGATACCGGAGGTGGGGCGAGCCATGTTGCCGACGACAAAGGAGGTTCGTGACAGATACCCGACGCGGGTATCGGCAACATGGCTTCGTGCTAACCAGGTTCCCGATGATAGACTGCCACGCTACCGATAAGTCTAGTAATGTCAAATGTAAGTGGTTGATAATTGCAGTATGACGAAGTGCCGTGAAATGAAGCCAATCGGATAAATAAACATCTGTGGAAAAGAGTGAGCAGATATCCGAGTTGCAGGCACTGGAATTCAGCATTTGTAAACTCTTCGCTCCTTTTTTTGACTTTCCCCTCACCTCCGCCTCCATTCCAAGCTTGGCGTAGACAACCTAACCTTTTAGAAGTCTTCTGACATTCACCATGGTCACCGAAGCCGACTTGAAGCCCTGGCTCCGTAGCCCCGTCCGACGATACGTCCTCACCAACGCCACCATCGTCGACGTGACAGACGGCAGCCTGCGCCCCAACGCGGCGATTCAGCTCAAAGATGGCTACATAGATACAATCACCGACTCGACAGACTCAGCAATCAAGACCGCTGTGGAACAAGGCTTCGAGGTGATTGACTGCTCCGGCAAATTCATCTGCCCGGGCCTCATCGACTCACACGTCCACTTCGTCGCGGTCCCTGGATTCGGCGACCTTTCTAAAGCATTCGGCAACGCCAACGATGTCTCACTTCTTCGCCAACCATACGTCGCCGCACAGATGCTACATCGCGGGTTCACGAGTGTGCGAGACTGCGGCGGTGCGCAGCAGGCACTGAAGGAAGCTATCAACGACGGTGTCTTTCCCGGCCCGAGGCTCTTCATCGCGGGACATGCCCTGTCGCAAGCGGGCGGCCATGGGGACATCCGTGGTGTTCACGATCACTCCGAGTGCTGCGGCGGGTCAACAAACGGGCTCGGAAGGCTATGCAACGGCGTACCGGAGTGCATGACCGCCGTCCGAGAAGAGATCCGCGGCGGAGCCGACTTTATCAAGATCATGGGCTCCGGCGGTGTTTCGACACCAACCGACAGAATCGACCACCTCCAATTCACCGGCGCTGAGATCCGAGCCATGGTCGAATGTGCCTCGAACGCGGGCACCTACGTCACAGCCCACGCATACACAACGAAAGCTATTCGGCATTGTATCGATAACGGTGTGCGGGGGATTGAGCACGGCAACTTTGTCGATGCTCCTACGGCGAAGCTCATGGCGGAGAAGGGCGTCTATCTTACTCCCACCCTCATCACATACGCTCAGATGGCGTCGCCGAAGTGGAAGGGCTATTTGCCGCCCGAATCCATGTCGAAGAACGAGGAGGTGCTCAATGCCGGGTTGGTGGCGCTCAAGACTGCGTACGACGCCGGTGTGACCATTTGCTTCGGTACAGACCTTCTTGGGCCGCTCGGAGCAGCGCAGTCGTTTGAGTTCTCGTTGAGAAGCAGAGCTGTCCCATCGCTAGCTGTGCTGCAGAGTGCGACGCTGAATGCCGCAAAGATGGCCGGCAGAAAGGATTCGCTGGGTCAGATTAAGGAGGGCTTCGAGGCAGATCTTCTCATCATAGACGCCAACCCTGTCGAGAATGTATCCATATTTGATGACCCCGAGGCTCACGTGTTTGGTGTCTTGAAAGAAGGCAGGATATACAAGAGCAGATGGAGCGGTCTGGTCGAGGATGCCACAGTACCCGTCAGAATCAAGCCGGCGTTGTGAGATCTATTTGGAACTTGGAATATTTGGAGATACTTAGGAGAAGAGTAGCAGCTCATAGAACCGCAGAAATCAAGCAAATTGCGTAATGAGATGGAAAAAAAAAAGGCAATAGAAACCATGACGTACAATCAGCTGAGCATAGCAGAGTCAGCGACGCGTCGAGGTAACCTCGTAAAGTCCATGGAACTTGTGCCCTAACGCGTGACCGGCAGGCTTCATTCGCGAGAAAGGCCAGTGACAGGAAAAGTCGGAATCCCTCTCCAATACCGACGGGATGGGACGGGGTTGGAAACACAATGGTACTCTCCTAAATGAGGTGAGCGAGGTAAACATTTTCTTCCTTTCACATCGCCGAACAGCTTAACCTTGACGCGTGATCCCTGCCGCCACAGTGGGGTCTGTTCTTATCGGCAAAGCGTCCGAAATGCGGAGAGACCCCAAGAACAACCATCTGGCTTCAGACATCTTTCTTTCTTCCACACCAACTTCCTCCCAGCACTGAACGCTCATCCCAGAGTTATCCGAGTCTCGAAGACCAAATAGACTCTCATCCATCATGACGCTTCCATGTTCGTCATATGAAAGCGACACTTCCGCCAATGGAGTCTCCCGCAGAGCGCCGCCGCCGCCGCCGTAGAGTCCCGGATGCAATTCGAAAGCGGGCACCCCGGGCGTGTGATCGATGTAAGGCACGCAAGAACAAATGTATCGAAACTCCTTCTGGTGTATGTGTGCGATGTACTGAGGGATCTCATCCATGCCGCTTCGAACGGGAGCGTAGCCCAGCTGGTGAAGAACATGAGGCCTCGACTTCGACAATAACTTCAATAACCGCGGGCACAAGATCTATCGGCATTCCAGAGCGAGAGTCGAATCGGACAAACAACGATGTCTCTTTTACTCTCAATACACCTTTGGGTCAAAGCATGAACGACGAGTTCTCTCCCGCAGATAGCGCGCCTTCAGAAGCCTTCATGTGGCCGCGCTTCCTATCCCGTCTACGGGATGCCTTTTGTCTCGACTCACAGCCACCATCGGGAGATCAGGATCTGGCAAGCCTGCAGCCTCGAATATCGGTTACATATCCAGCTGATCCTGCCGAGCGTAGGCGCATCAAGAGAGCAGTGAAGAGCTTTCCCCCGCGCGGTGTCGCCGACTTTCTGGTGTCGGTTTGCATCGCTTACGGGACCGATATTTTCTTCTACCTTGACCAGAGCCACTTCATGGCAGAACTCGATCAACTGTATAATGACGAACAGTCGACTTTGAGAGAAGATGCCGGTTTTGTTTGTCTTGTCTTGGCAGTCTTCGCGCTAGGGAGCCAGTGGACAGCGCTGGCAAGACCGGAAGACCCGAGCAGTGCAGCCTCGACGGAAGATCGGAGCGTTGATCCTGGCCGGATATTCTACAATCAGGCTCGCATTTTGATCTCTGATCTACTAGACCGGCCTTGCATCAAGTCAGTTCAAGCGACTTTCATTCTGGGCGTTTACCTAATGCCGGCCAGCGCCATCAGTGCCTCCTATGTGTACATGGGATTAGCACTGCGAAAGGCTCTGGCTATTGGGCTCCACCAAGAACCTGACGACCCCTCTTTGACCGAGGACGAGAAGGAAACCAGACGGAGGCTCTGGTGGTCGATTTACTCCCTTGAAAGGTATGTCTCCTTCTGCTGCACCATGCCTGGAGACTTGCGCTAACAGCGATAGAACGGTCACCATCAAGCTCAATCGACCGCGATCCGTAGACCAGGAGATCATCACAGCGGGTCTGCCGAAACCAACTTCACGGGACGCGTCTCAGAAGTTTGACAACTTACAGCATCAAATAGCAAATGCAGCGTTCGTCAGAATCATTGACAAGCTTTCAGAGCCTGGGTCAGTTGACTTGAGTAGTCCTAAACAATGCCCCAAGGCTAATGTGCTCAGCAGAGGATGGTCGAATACCAATCATTCGCACACAGGAGCTTTAAGACGTCCCACAGATGCCCAAATATCTCTAAAGGCATGGAAAAAGGGGCTCCCGTCATCACTCAAGCTGCAAAATGTCGATCCAAAGTCATCCAGCTATCGCGCCGTTTTCCACCTGCACCTCAACTACTACTTCGCCTGGATCGACATGGGCAAGGTCTCCGTGGTGACTGTTGTCCGCGCTCGTCTGCAAACGATTTTCCACGCAAGCGCCGGTCAATCCGATGTGCCTAGAGACGTAGAGCAGTCCTCAGAAGCATGCATCAAAGCAGCCAAGAAGATGCTGGAACTTTTCGAGGGCCTTTGTCGCGGGGGCAATATGGCGCGGTTCTCCTTCACAGACTTCCAAGGATGCAGCATTGCCACGATTATCGTCCTCCTTGCCGGAATCCTGGACCGTGATTCTGGGTACGAGGGGCGGGTGGCTTTTGGACTTGACTGTCTCCGCAAGATGTCCAGCTTCGGGAACACGACAGCAAAGATGGGAGTCCGCTTCGTTGAGGCCCTACAGTTCATCACGAATGAAGCTAGGTCCAAGCTGGTGATGGCTCGGAGAAGAGAGATGAGTCAGGCTCAAGAAGCCTCATCAGGACAGGCAGAGGGCTATGGACGATGGGCAGAATGGCTGGCGACTGCTGAGGTGGTTGGCAGCCCTTCGAGCGACGAGTCCGATCTCGAGGGGGAGCAGTCGGGGCAGCCGCCGGCTCCTGCTCATGGCCCATTGATATCACCAGACATCATGCTCTCGTCTCCATGGGAAGAAGCAGCAGCTCTCCAGTTACAAGAGATGTCAGCCTCGAGTTTCGGCATGCCAGCGCCGGAAGGGGTGGCAGCTGATGAAACCACGTTGATGCCCTTGCCCACGGGAGAAGAAGCCTGGCTGCCATCTTTTGCATGGAATGATGACCAGATGTACTTGATGGGTTTGACTGGTATGGATGGACTAGACTTCATGGGAGGGATTTCATAGTCCTGTCGGTTTACCCTTTGGACATAAACGGAGCAAGGATACATACAATCTGAAATGGCAACTGATCATGTCCACTTGCTAGGGCCAGCTCCTTGTCATCTGAGTTCACCCTCGTTTCCCTCGACTGCTTTGGATTTGGTCACTTTTCCATTGCCTCCAATACCTGCTCTCGGCACTCGTCTGGATGCTTCGAAGTGTCGACGACAACCACGTTGCCGTCGGGTCTGTACGGGTTCTCAATCCATCTTCGAAACAAGGCCTCCTGTTCGTCTCGTCCTTGGCACGCATTGCTGTCAACCGGAGGACTATATATCCCCGTACGCTGACTTCTCATCGCTACCCTCTTCTGCAATCTCTCATCTAGCACATCAATGTCGACTTGAGGTCTGCACTCGATGTACCAGTACTCAAAATCTACTTTTTCCGCCAGGGCTCTCCCACTAGTGATTACTTCTTCGTAGTTGCAGGTGCAGTCTACAATGAGATTGCGGCCCTGTATGAGCATGCTGCCGGCGAGCGCCCAGAGCGTTGAGTAAGCTAGCTTTGCGGCCTGCTCAAATAGTACCCCATTATCGAGGAGAGAGGACTTGATAACGTCAAGATCGAGGATGACGGCATCAAGAGGCTGGGCTAGGAGATTTGCTGTGGTGCTTTTGCCCGCGCCCGGCGCTCCTGACATCTGGAGGAAAAGCCGCCGTGGCGGGCTAGAATCTTGAGAAGGCATTACGATAGCTGAGACGCTGAGTTGACCGTGTCTGTTACCAAGCGGGCTGCTGACCAGGTTTCCTCTGGCGCTGTAGTACTGCAGAGTTTCTGCACAGACTCGAAGTCTTCGGGTGAGGCAAAGAAAGAGGCAATCAAGCTTAGAAGTACTTCATGCTTTGAATATATTTATCGTGTCCCTTTGGCGTTTAAAGCCAACACTAAATCACTGAAGAACATTCCTCCCAAAACCTGATCTCATATACTTTGTGCGTGCACTGCCACAGTGACGTGTCTCGATCTGCAGCATTCACTTAGCTCCCAGCCACAACGAACCGACGCCGCAATGTGAATGCAGCCTGAACCATTAGTACTTGCTTCGAACATCGACGCCTAGACTCCTAAAGCCCATCACCGAGCTCTCTCTAGTTGATTGCTGTTTCCTTGCCCGACCACTTGCTTCTCTGTCATCTCATGGACTAGGGCTTCTCCTAGTAAGCTCGTGTCCCTCCGGATCCTGTCCCAGTGGAATCCTTCCCCTCCTCCTAGACAGCCCATGCTTCATGGTTGCAAAAAACCCGGGCATGTCCGACACTTCACCATTCATTATCATAGCCGGATGTACCACGTTGAAGACCGCAATGGCGAGAAACATCGGCAAAGCTTCCAAGACGTAGAAGTAAGCCTCGTGTGTAATCAAGACATTGTCAATCCCATGGCCCGAAGAAAACTCAATCAGGCGGTAAGTGATCCGTACTGAGATCATGCCGAGGGAAAAGTAAAGCGCCCAAAGCAGAGGTTTCCAGGAGCGGGATTGCTTCCCGGAAAGCTTGTCTAGGCTTTGCATCTCGACCTGGAACTTCAATGCCAGGGCGACGAAGATGAGGATGAAGAACTCTTGGAGTCCGATACCGCCCATGTAGATATGAATCGCCTTCATCTGTTCCGCGGGTGGCGCTGTTGGGCCGGCCATGCTGCCTCCAGTGAGTTGAACAGCAAATGATATGATGTCAAGTGCGACAAAGATCGCGGCGAATGTTGCGGCGGGAATGCGGAGGAGAGAGCGCGAGGGGTGAAAGAAGTAAATCATGCGGCCCAAGGTCATGTATGCAAAGGCGTTTACCCCTGAGAAAGCGTTAGACTTCTTTCAGTGGAAATGCAGCTTAGATCTTTGTACTTACAGATAGGCGCAAGCAAGATGAAAATCTGAAAAACGAGGTAGATGCCGTTACTCTGCTGATTCTTGCTGCTTGCAGCTCGGAAGATGAAGGCCAGAGTCTCCCAGATGCTCGCCATTATAATAACCCAACACCATCTCTAAATGCTAGTCAGATACTTTACAACCCACGTTGATTTGCTAGCAATGCTAAAACGTACGAACCTTCTTGTGCTTGGCGGCCTGCCAGATGTGGACGACGGTCAAAATGCCGAAGAGAGCCGCAAACACTGCCGCAGCCGCGAAGCTAGGATAGTAGTTCCAGATGGCACCGCATTCGCCGGGTGGGATGTACCCATTGGCATCGGGCTCGATCGTCTGGACACACGTTGGGATGGCGATATCGATGGTCTTTGCTGGGACTGTGACGTAGCTATTCGTGACGCCGGGAATGGTGATGTACTTTGTCGCGATGAAGTCTCCCGTCGGGATAGATGATGTTGATGAAGAAGTTACAGTGGAATCTTGACGTTTTGCCAAAGAATTCGGCAAAGTGGGCGTGGGTGAAGGTCCTGATGGCAAAGCCAGGGCGGTCGCAGCCGCGGCCAGCGTGATCCAAGACAAGTGCATCGTGATGAGTGTCGAAAGATGTGGAATGACGAGGAGAATTGAGCTTGATGATGTTGAATTTTCTTCATCTTCACAACGAAGTCTGGTATTCTCGTCTTTATAAGTGAGATTCTCAGGCCTTCATCGCTGGTGTAAGTGAATGTCGATAATCGCGGTGCCTGGCGACACAGCCCCCCCATGTTCGCAGCTGTTATGTAAAGAAGCGAGCCGACCAATCGTAGACTCTCAAGGGGCGGAGCTTGTCGATGATAACAATGTAGAGTGTGAACCCCTGTAATGTCAGCACAGTAGCTTGAGACCTGGCCGCGTGTGAGGCGTAGCCTTCCTTCGAGAGGTTTAGCGTCATCGAGAGAGACGTGCAGAGGGAAGCAGGCCCTGGGCGAAAAATAGCAACTAGATAATCATGGCTTGCGCTTCAATTGTACTCGAAACCACTCCTCCTGGACAGTGATAGGCCCTCCGTGCTCCCTCATCAAGAGAGCGACCTTCTTCCACATGGCAATACCGCCATTCTTCTCGTGGACGAAGCGTACCTCGTCCTGCATAGCCGAATCTTTAATTCGCCGTCCTTCCGGTGGTAACGTCCCGTCATCGACGACATTGGCAATATGCTCATCGTGTCCGAGGTCCAGCTCGTGCTCAAACTCGACAATCTTGCGTCCGAACGCCAGAACAGTGTTGAAGTCCCAGAGGTTCTCCCTCTCGTGCGCAATCGTCTTCATGAGACTCAAGGCGGCGATTCGCAGTGACAAGGACCGGCACTTGATAAAGACGAACCCTAGCAGTGGGCTGAAACCCATCTCAAAGGTGAACTTGGCCCGTCCGATCCTCTGCCACATTTCTCGGAAGATAGTTTCGACTTCACGGCCAAGCTCGATGATCCGTTGGAACTTGTCCAGATGTAGATCGTATACCAATTCGCCGCGAGAAAAACACGTGCTGAGCCAAATCTTGCCTACATGCCACTTCATCTCAAGTAGGCGTTCAACGAGCTCTTCTCGCATGGCGGCGCGCTGGCAATTATTCGGGGACTTTTGCACCATGTACGCTTGGAATGCCGCAGCCCAGTCATCTAGCAACTCATCCATCTCATCTCTTTCCTGCATTGTTAACATGTCCGGCTTAGGATGCGTCTCGTCACCGAGGCGATATTCGTCAGCGGCCCGTACAAAGCGAATCGCGCGCACGAGTAACGGATCCAGCGCTGCTTGAACCTGCTTTAAGTTGTAGAAGGGGGGTACTGAAACTGGATACGACTCTGGTATGGCCGGAAACGTTTCCGGTCGGGCACCGAAGAAGAAAGGGAACACTCCAAGGCGACAGAAGGCCGGCGTGAGGTGCTCTCGAACAAATCGCGATGTAGACCTGGAACCATTCAGGATGTTGATGCCATGCCTGCAATGATCGATGGCACCCTTGCATTCGCCACGAAGCATATCGATACACACGAAGAGAATGCACACAAATAGGACCGTCTCCTGGTTGTTTGTTGTTCGCAGGTGTTTGATCGCCTCGTTGTAATGCGCAACCGCGAAGGAATTCTTCTCCGAATGCCGGTCTAGGGGATCCTCCTTGAACTTCTCGTACAGCGAACTGATGGCCAATGCGGCATGTTTCGCAGCAAGCTCCTGGTGAGAGACCTGAGAGACAAGATGGGTCCAGAAGTAGCTATCCAAGGGCCCGGACAAGACGGGGGCGACGACTTTGCGGAAGAAACTCAAGGCCCGGAGTTCTGCGTCCGACGCGGCCTGGGTCGGAGGCGGATGGATGCGGAGCAGCTGAGCCCAGGAATATGTCCCCGTTGGCGGTGTCACATAGCCATCGCACCTCCGGCCCGTGCTGACGCACCTGTTGCATGCCGGGCGTGCTTCATCACATTTGACTCTTCGGATTCTAGGTTGGTTAGCTCTAACGTACGTGTAGGTATGAATGATGCCTTAGAGCTTGCGGCTGGGCTGTTGGACTCACTTGCAGGTTACACAGCCCGTCTTAACCTTTGCTACCCCGAGTCGAGCCATTTGCGCGCCACAAGAACAAGCAAGCAAGCAAGCGAGTTGTTAGGGCTGTGTGGTTGTTGTGTGATGGAGGTGGAGATGCGCCCTGAGAGACGCGTTTCTCACCTATCTCGTAAAGATGCGAGGTGGCCTATGAAGAGACAGGGAGTCGATAGTAAGGTATGTTTGATGTCAGGGAACGAGCCTCCTCAAGTAATGTGAGCTTGCGTACGAATAGTCCCCGCGCCGTCGCGTCGACTAGGTGGGCGGACTAGGTGATGTGCCATGGAACTGAATCCCGAGCCACATAGCGTGACGTTGTCGTTCGACGGTGTTCGTTTCAGAAGCGAACAAGAGAGCCTGAGACCAGAAACGCAGCATAATACACAGTTTCCCGACGTGTCTTAGTGTCCAGGTTCGCAGTGACCACCCTCCCTTGCACACACGCTCGTGTCACCATCAGCCACCCACTCATCCATCCACGCAACCATACCAAGAGAAGATCGGGCGGCCGCTTG